TCCTGAAATAAACATGATTTTGATTTGATTTGAATGTGATATCGCTTAGCGGTGCCCATTAAAGACCAATGGACAAGACCCAAACAATCCACCATCTTTTCAACAGGTTCTACTTCTGCTCTTGCGCTAGACACGGCAGAAACACCTTTCGAGGAAGCCAAGGCATGGTTCTCGGCCAACAGATTTAAGCTGAACGAGAAGACTTAAAAGATCGTGTGCACCTTAACTCGATATGACCAAATTGAGATCATTTGGACCAAGTCCATCTGTTCGGTTTCACCATCTACCACAAACTGACATGGGCTGAACATATCAAGGTTGTTTGTAGAAGGCTGTCAAGATTAGTGTGCCAGTTACGCAAACTATCAAAATTAACCCCACAATATCTACTATGGTGGTCTACCACTTTATCTTTCACAGCGTCCTGAGCTACGGCCTGCTACTTTGGGGGCATGCGCCTACTTGTAATGAAGTTCTTTTGCAACAAAAGAAGGCTGTTAGGATTATAATTTAAGCGAAAGATTGGACTACTGCCAGACTCTTTTTCATTGAAACAAAAATGTTAACAGTCTATAGCCACTCCATTCTGTTATGTGCAGCAAACGTTAAAAGTAACATTCAAAAGTTTCCGACAAGAAATACCGTCCACAAACACCAAACAAGACAAAATCATGAAATAGACCTTCTCTTCTGTAGACTCTCTACGCAACAAAAAACAAGACAAAACCGCTTTCCCGACCATGGCGCTTAGGATCAACAACTACAACAACCTGTCCCAAGACCTACAAAAAAACATTTAAACATGGAAATTTAGCACTGCCCTGAAGTCATGGCTAATAACCAAGCCTACAGATCCAAATTTTTCCAATATTTGTCTTATATTCTGCTGCCATAACATTTATGTTCTTTATTTAAATAAATGAATTCGTTAAAATGCGTTTTAATTTTTTTTTATACTTAAACCCAACGAAGGCCCAACGATTCTTTCCTTTGTATGGCCAACGAATACCAGTTTCCGTTGGGCCAACGTTGGCAAATCGTTAAAATTTCTGCCAACCATTTCCCAACCGTGCCGACCATTTCCCAACATTGGGCCAACGATGTGTGCTACTTGGGAACCAAGCCTTTCTATACCCTTGACGAATATTTCGAAACAGTGAATAAAAATGAGGGTTGATCCACCGCCGCAAGTGAATAAATGTAAATAGTAAGATTTAAAGTATCAAAGAGTATTTTATGTTTTATTTCTTTAATGACACAGCCTTACCGGCACAGATGGTCTCGGCGAAGAAGAAGGTGTTGAGGTGGTTTTACCGTAGCGTAGCAACTATTTGTAGCTTGCTGTTGAGCTGTGACCACGTTCCACCGACGAATGTGATGACTCATTTTTTGTCTAAAATTTTTTGTTCAAATTTTGTATATTACGTGTTATGTCAGTGTCGATGTTCTGACGTCCCCAGTGAACAGCTGTCTGCTCCGGGAGATCTTCTTACTTCTGTCTGTCAACGTGCTGTTTTTTAGAGGCTCTATGACGGGGAATGAGAAAACACCGATGTTATTAATTGTCATCCTAGTGAATCTTATTTATGTACCCTAAAGGTCACTTTTATTTTATTGGTGTCTTTTTTCTTTTCAACGATGTGTAGTTAAGTGTGTCAGCTAAGCCTGATGGGGCCCCCGAGGGGACCATGAGGCCTGACCATCTTGAGCGTTGGTGGAGAAACATTTTCCATCCTGTGGCCTCCATTTGGACTCGGGCTGGCCCCCTCTCCGCCCAGCTTAATCGTCCTCCGGTGACCTGCGCCTGAACCCCCCCCCCCATAAACTATTGCCGTTATATTTATAGATCTATTTATTTAGGCGTATTTATTGTTGCTGTTGTTGGACTGAGAGACTTAGTAATTTGTTATTTAATTTTTAAGAACAACATTGATCTTCTCTTATTTATTCAATGATTTAGGGGGCCCCTATAAAAGGTTATTTGTTACAAAGTTTAAATTCAATAATTCAACGGGTTAATATTGTTACAAAATTTAAATAGAATGTTAATTTGTTATTTCGTTAGTTTTTTAATAAATTTTATATTATGAATTTGAAAGATCAACTTAAATACATTTTTTGAACTGAACTATTAAATGAGAAATTGGTGTTAGCTGGTAGGAAAGTCGAGAGTTAAAGATGTCGACTAAGGTTTGCATGTATTATTGTTAATTGTTTTAAAGAGTTTATTACAGCTGTTCGACTCAAACGGTGCGTTGTTCTTGAACCTTTCCTCCACGGGGTTTCTTGTTGTTAGGCAGGGCTGTGAGCCGCCGCTCCGCCTCTGACCATAGGAACACGCTTCCAATTTTGTTCACTTGGGTGCAGGAGCGGGGGCGTGAACCTATTCTTAGCATGTCTTTTTTCTTGAAAAATATTAATAAGGCTTTTTATACTACACATAGAGTAGAAATACAGACGAGACACAATTACGTTAACAAGGATTTTAACACTTTTCCCTTAGGTTATGATATTTTGTTGTTTTCCCTTTGATCTGCTACCAAGGCAAATTGCTGGTACAGTATGGATGAAAAGTAAATTTAAATCGAAGGAACAAATAAACTGATCAATTATTTTGATAGATTTTAGAACCAGCAAAGGTGAAAATTATTTCATAGGCCCAACTAATTTATTTTAAAATTGTTGCCTTCCTCATGTATACATTATTAGCGTAGAGATACATGTATACATGTATTGAGGAGCGACCACTGTAGTAACTGATAACTGTAGTTTTAACCAAAGGGCTTTTAGTGGATAGAGATCATCTCATAAATGGATTTTTTTATGCTTGAGAGATCTATCCTTTAAAGTTTTTTTTTTAGATAGGTAGGCTTACAACCAGGTGATAACATTACAACATACCGAGAACTATTGGTTATTGGGAGGACTTGAGCCCGGGACTCCAGGTCAGAATTCCTGCGAACCATTCACTAGACCTGCCTTGCATCATGTACTCCCTGGTTGGTCAGTAAGGCCTTGTTTTATGAGAAACCCAACTGTTTTGACACTATAAACTAATTTTTATATAACTCGCCCGAATTATAAAACTTAGGCTAGGCCTAGGCCCTACTTTAATGGTTAGAGCTACTGAAATATTGGCATGGTTCTTAATTTTTAATGTGCCTCTAAATAACATTTCTCATCATTGCTATTATTGTGATGTGGTTAAGAAAAGACTCCTTTTCACTTTGATAAGTAAGGTAAACTGTTCCAGTGGTTGGCAAGGTACTTACCTCACTAAACTATATCTTATACTAACAATATATGTTTAAAATATGTATCCTGTTAGTGGTTTTGTAGAATTTACTACAATTTTCAAGATAATGAATGTTAGTTAGTCATTTGTTTCTTTTTTACCAAGACTACACGTTGATATGTTTAGGTGTACCGATTCAACACTCCAAGTTTGAATGGGTAGAAAGAAAAATTATCTACTCAGACATACTGTGTTATCTATCATAAATACATCCCATAAAAACAGTTTAAATCCAAGACCTTTGTAGCAACGGATTTACAGTTATTATATATTTTAAATGTTTCATTATCAAAGTATAAATAACTTGGACAGATTAAATGAGAAACGGAAGAGAGTTAACTGAAAATATATTTGTTCCGATCGCAGAAGCGGTGGTACAATCAACCCATAATTTTATTGCCATTTTCGAAAAGAAGAACTAAACGCAGCAAATATTACTGATAAGAACGTAAAGACAAAAGTCCATTTGGTAAAAAAGCTGTGTTATGGGAGAAAAACTATAACAAATCTGAGATTTCTCACATGATATTCTATACATACAAAACGTTTGTTTTAGCTTACAGTAACATTAAAGTTTGGAGACGTAGTTAACTTGCAGCCTACCACCATTTTTACTGACAAAAATTGAAAAAGAAAAAATCAGGCTTATGAATGTTTTTCGTCAATACGCAGTGTATTCAAAAGCAAATTAACTTAACTTATGAACGATGTCAATTCTATTATAAAATGTGTTTCCCATCAAAATTATTATTTATCCATCTAAATGATTCCCTATTAGTCACAGGCCTACTTGTCCAAGGACACATAGTAAACATATTATAATGATAATACGTTTATTGTATGGATAAGAATTATGCCGATTCTTATGCATTGTATGGATAAGAATATGACTTCTTATATGGAGTAAAGTACGTACAATGTTTTAATGTTAGTGTAAGTTACTAATACCATTGCTGTTGTTTTGTTTCCGCTCGCTTCCTTTACAGTTTCCCATAGACAAACCAATCCGCATTAAAATGCAAAGAACCTTCAGATTACAGTATGGGAAATGTACAAATAAAACTTAACACCGAGATTTAAAATAACTCACTTAAAGGGAAGCTTTTACATGTTACTAGTGTAAGTCACACCTTAAAGCCTATCCACTCATCAACCTTGCGTAATAGTGATTCGCTACGAGATCGCACGCTCGTAATTCAACTTCAAGTTCAATTATTGTTATCAACCGAACGTATCAATTTAAAAATTGAGAACTATTTTACAGCTGGTGATGAACTGGTAAGAAACTTTATTGAAACTAACATTAAGAAACTTACTTTGAAGTATGGTAAATCTGTTGATCAAAACGTTCTTAAAAAAACAAAAAGGTATTACAAATGATCGAGCTACATCAGGAATACTAGAAAACAACATTCAACATAAACACCCAGTTTCCCCCATTGCGTCGCTGTTTACACAATCTTTCCGCGAATCGGCAATATTGAGATGTGACGTAACTTATTATGGCAGAATCCCGCGATTCGCGTCTCTTTTGGACCAGTTTATGGGAGAATGATAAACATTCCTATATGACACATAGGTCGTTGTTCGAGGCCAGGACGTTTCTTATCATATTTACGTGATTATCAATCGTCTTCACGACCCTGGGTTTGAGTCTCGGATCACGATGGGAAAAATTATCTCGTTATTAGCAAATTGGATTTGGGATGCGTTGCGTCGCCAGGTGGCTGGCGCTCTGCGCCTTGGTTGTTGTTATCAAGGTGGGTGTCACATAGTAGTAGAATAGAAATATGTTTTATATAAATCGTAGTTTACCTCATCTAGAATATTGTTCAATGAGAAAGTTATTTTCTCCAACAGAAACTATTGATAAGGAACTTAAAGCGAGGAAGGCGTTTCTGCAATAATATGGTTCATTTTACAACAGCTGTGGATGGATTCAATTGAAGTTGTAATTTCGTTTAAGAAATCGCAAAAAATCTTTGTCCCTGCTTGTTCGTGGAGTTATTAATAAGTTTGCCTTCCGACACAGTGTCTAGTCGTTCTGCGGTCTGACAATGCAAGTGATTTATTTGTGTATCCTTGAAGGCTTTGTAGCCAACACTGAAACCTCGTTGTGACGGTTGTATTATTTCTGCACGGATTAATCATAAAACAGTTAAATATGTTTTGATACATCATGTATATTATCCGTTCTGGTTCAGTTTTTATTGGTGTAAAAAAGTGCAATATCAATAAGTTTGCAATGTACAGTACGATAATACAAAGTCGAACGTAGTACCACAGACTAAGGAGTTTGTGGTAGTATGTATCCTACATACATTCAAAATACGACTATGGCAGTCAACTTATAAGTGCTATTGATGGGATACCAGTTATACATTCACTAGGTTAGGTTACGATTCACTAACCCAATTTTTCTCACGAAATTAAAATGAAAGGAACTGAGCATTCAGAGCAAGATAGTGGAGATGAACAGTAAACTTGCGTAAAAGAATTAAGATCGTGTTAAAAATTGAACAATATTGTAATTAGATAACATTAGGGATACTTTTATTTGTCTGCAACTTTTTTGATGCCATACATTAAAAAGATTCATCACTATTTACCAAAAATCTTTATATAGATTTATAACTTCCATAGTACATAAAACTGTGCTTTGAGTAGCAATTACAAATGCCATATCGAATGTAAAATTACAAATTATAGATACCACAAAAGATTTGACATTTATCCAACAATACAGAATTAGTTGAGTTACAGGTATATGCTACATCTATAACTGCAATAACTATTTCAATCTTTTTTAGTGTGAATTTTAAAAGCTAACGCTACACTCAATATATTGATGCTTGAACGCGTAGAAATTCAACCCTAAGCGAAAATGTGATATTAAAACTATTGATAACTAGTCTAACATCTAGCAAGAACATATATATATATATATATATATAAATACTTAAGTAATTTGTTAAGTTTCCTGAATCGATTTTTACGTACGGACCTAACTTGGTGATTTAAAGATTATAACCTATAGTAGTTTACGCAACGATTACATACTGTACACGCACACATAACTGTGGTCTGCTGCCATAAAAGTAAAACATGTATCAAAACTGAACTTACTTGACATTGCTATGAGAGGGGGAAGGGAAAGGTACAATCTGGGTTCCAGTATTTGCAAACCTTGCCAGAGTGGGAAGTAACTTGATATCCCATTGACAACTGTAATGTGATATTTCTGCTGAACACAACTAGTACTCTTTGCGGTATTCTCACCTGAAAGTTGCCCGCTTAATTAATCGCTACCTTACACCGCTATCCAATGAGTGTATCGAAATGATTAATTGATTCGTTTTACCGTAGATTATACCAAAGATTAATCATTCCTATTAATCAGCTGAACCCAATTTTAAAGGCTTTTCCACCCGCTTCATGTAGACAGCCTGTTTTACGGATTGTTTCTTGTTGTTTACTTATTAACTAATTATTTACAAAATAAAACGATATAATTACAAAGAATATCACGTCCCTTGGTTTTATAAACAAATAGAAAGTTACAAACGTCGAAATTACACTAAAATTAGACAAAACACATTTCTCCAACACTAGAGTTGAAACGTCACAAACATAAAACACGCATAAACAGGTTTCACGTTTTTTGAAGTCTACTCTACTATTAGAAGTTAATATGGTCTTACAAAACGTAACCATAAGTTGTTACATCTTCTAATGAATAACATGTATTTGATAATGAATATAATTATTTATGCAACTAATTCGGATCAATCTATCGAAATTAGTAGTTGCTCTCAATTCACTTATAAAACGTTTTGTTACCCACTGAAGCCAATCAAATCTTTATCAATCATCAAATAACTACTTTTAGTACAGCGCAGTATATCAATTCAGTCATTCTTTTAAAGAGTTCTGCTGCTTGACAAAATTAGGGGTCAAATATAAACTTTAAGAATAAGTAAGTAAACAAATTCCTAGCATTTTGAAAAAGGAATTTATGTGTAGAATCTGAACGTAATGACAGTTTTCTAATAATAAAGACACTATCGGCAAACATATACAGAGTGTTTCAGTAAAGCGTAGCGGGCTATGCAGAATTCAGATTCTACATGCAAAAATAAGTCGAAAATGTGACTTTTTCGATTTCGGCTTAGTTTAGCCGTAATCCACCATTTTGTATTTTTTTGAAAATAATTTGTGACTCAAAAGCCCTTAGATATATTTTTATGAAACTTGGTATACACTTAAAATCTACAGCTATAAACATTCTCCGAAAATATCTTTGATTAGGCTCATCGAATTTCAAAATGGTGGCCATTTAAAATGTTTTAAGTCAAACTCCATGAATTCATACATCATTAAAACAATACAATTCATTTATATTAAAACAAAATTTTGCAACACAATATTTTAAGTCCTTTTTATTACAAATCGAATGACACTTTATTTGAGAAAATCGGATAATAAATAAAAAAGTTATGTAACTTTTATTATTAAAAGCAATTATAAAAATGGCAGTCAATTTAAAACCACAAAGTTAAATTTCATAGAAACTACTGACAAAACATTATTAAAGTTACATAACTTTTTTGTATGAATAACTAGTGAAATACGAAGAAAAGTAAACTATACATATTAACAACTAAAACCCTTTGAATTATTACGGAATGACGTAGTTAGCTATTTCGTTATTTTTATGATCTTTTAGCCAATAGTCTACTCTATTCAGGAGCGTATTTAGGATCTATGAGGCCCCGGCGGATCATTTCAGAGATTCTATTCTCATTCTTCGGTAGCTGGAGTGTGGGAGGTTTAGAAACACCCGTCTTATCACATCATATGAATTTGACCCTTTGTTTCGGCTATCCGATCGGGGTACAGACCTATGAGACCAGCTAATAAGTAGTTCAATTGTATTTTTATCAATAATATTTTTATAGTACAATTTCAAAGCGTCTACTGTAATCACGACAAAATCGGAAACCCAAAGCGAAATTTAAAATGAACAAAATCGTCCTAGCCATGACATAAATGGATGATGAATTTATTTTTCCTACAGCTATCTGTTAAATTGAGCTTCATTGCACTGACTATTTCACGCAAAATAGCCAATTGCTGCATTTAGGCCTACTTATCATTGCCGCACTCATTATTTTGCCGCCAACCATTTTCTTTGTAGAAAAAATATAATGCGTAACGCGAGCGCAATGAACCACTTCGCACACTAGTTACACAAATAACTATTTCCTACACTCACCGGACAAAGCGATCTTTCTTGCACTGATTATAGCTGCGCAAAGTAGCTAATTTCTGTATTGACTTACTTTCCCGCAATCATTTGACTTTGAATCACTTATTTTGATTTCCCGTACTCCAGTATTTTAACCAAACAACACAAAATAGTGTGTTTTATAGTTAGGCCTACGTAGAGGTAGGTATGAAGGGGGAGTTATTTAAATTATAAATCCTAGGTCGTCGATGAAAATTATTGTTGTTCTTTGTGTGACCTGCATGAAAATAAAACTGTTTTTCACTTCATGGCAAGGCGTTCCATGTTCAAAGATTTTAGAAAATGTCGTTTTAACAAATTAACTATTGATTGTGATGAGTCCAGCCCATCTGAATGGGAGGTATTGGCGAGGTATGGGTAACTTGATCAAACTAGCCTGGGTCCGTAGACGGGAGAAAATTAATGAATACAATTATTTTTAAATCATAACCTTATGATAAAATTCTGTTTTCAAGACTCGATTCAAGGATACCCTTAAGAAATGTGCAAAGAGCATAAATGTATTTGCAGTTGCTTTGTGTAAAGGTTATATACAGGTATATTTATATTATATGATAAATCACAATTATATATGGGTTTTATTGATTGTATATTATTGGGACAGTATTCGTATTTTTTACTTTTTTGTCCTTGTTACATTTTAAGGACTTATAAATATTTCTTTTGCAAGGTTAACGACTTACAAACAAAAGTTTGCTTAAAAAACTATAATAGGATTATTACATTGTTTATTTCCCGAGAATAATCATTTACGGTTTTATAAACAAATTCTTGGTTTGATTTTAAATTATATGGTAGAGAATCTATATATTATGTATGCCTATGTATGTGTATCTAAAACTTTCTCAATTGTGTTCACCTTAGGCGATAGCTTAAAAGATTCTCTTAAGTAGAAAAAAAAAACAAAAATAAAAGTACATAATCTGAATTCCATTTTAGTTTCAAAGTAAGTTTGAACTATTATGTTCTTTATCTTTTGTACGAGTGAAGTGAGTGGAAGTGGACTTTGCCAACCGGACAGACGGTCATTGTCTTTTTATGCGTATAAATACAATATGTAAGTTTCTAAACTATCTTGTAAAATAAAGCACTGTTCATACCTTATCTTATCGGTGACCTACTATTTGCATCCAGTGTATTTTTCTCCCAGTGACATTTGCACCCAGTAGGGTCAGTACCTGGAATTTCCGGCATTACCGTACCTATGTACCTTAACCATTAGTGTACTTATAATTTGTTCTATAATAAATAAATGGTTAAGGAGATTCGCCACCACTAAAATGGGTGTTTTTATAAATGTTTACAAATATTAAAAAACGATATTTTCTCGTTGTTTATGCTTTTGACAATATCTATGTGAAGTTGCATGCATATCTGACCATTTTTACTATTGATACCTTGACTACAAAACAAGAGTGATAAGTTTCAATATTTTTAGTTTTTTTTTTAGAAAAAAAAATCTATAAATTCTCTAATAAATTTTAGAATAATTTTTATTTATATAAAAGTTATATTTGTCACATACCGATATTGTAAACACTACTATTGTAAACAACTTTTTTATGCTATAGTGCACTTAAGCTATATGAATATATTATGTAATCAGCTGTTTGGGAAAACAGCTGATTTGGGCAAACCGGCTGTTCACGGACTTTGGACGTGATTTACCAAAAATTATGTTTTTTATAACACTTTGTTAAATAAAATAAAAAGTATTTTATCTAGCCTATTGACATTTTTATCACATGACCTCCATACAATTCACTATATTAAATTATATAATCATACTTGTACCTAAAAATAAATATATTTTAAACATTTTTTGTAAAAAAATTAAGTCAAATATTTTACACTTTATGAAAATTGCTGTAATTTTTGTAACTATTGTGTTACCATGATTAATATACCATTAAAGTTACAGTAGGTTATAAGTTATATGACAATATTAACTTTTTTTAAATATCTAAATAAATAAAAACGTTATTATTTAAGTTTTTATCCCCCACTCCAAAATATATCTATGTATATATAATATATATACAGGTATTTTTAAAAAAATGTTTTGGTCATATTCCTTTTATATAAATGCTGTTAAAGTAAAAATACGAGAAAAGGGAAATATTAGCTTGAATGAAAAAATAGGTTTAGTAGTGGCGGATCCCCAACTCGAGTCACAATTGTGCATTGTGAAAATTAATTTTACCATCTTGTTCGCACATTTTGTGTCCTAACTTCACATAACCGCTATTTAAAAGTAAAGCCCTATCTATGTTAAGGCATTACAATCTATTTTAATATTTCTTACTATATAGGGCCTAAGATTAGACATCACAATAAATAATAGATACATAACATTTGGTACAATATGTGATGTACATGTTAGATTAAAACCCGTTAAAATACTTAAAATATAACCTTCACCTTCAAACATGCAGTTTCAGTGTTTAGTTTTCTGCAAATATATGCACGTAATATTGATTTAAAATGTCATTAAAACATTTTCAAATAAAAATCTTATTTCTAATTAATTTCCGACTCAAAAAGAAAAATCCTGCAGTCTAACTCTACTCTACTCTGGTAACGTAATTTATTAAATGCTCGGAAAAACTCTTGCCAATAGTTAAATAGTTAGTTACCGGTACGATATAAGCCAACTGATTCCCACTACGCTTTAATCATGAATTGGACTAGCTATCTATATCCTAACGTTTCGGCCTTGTTCGGCCTATTCACATATCCTACAAAGCTATATGCATAATATTTACATACTTCCACAGTTTAGTCCATATTGATTGCGTAAGAGACATTTATAAACAAAATGTTCAATGTCTCCTCAATTGCATAGGCACAATTTCAGGAGTCATGCACCCTAGCCTAGCTATGAAATTTTTGTAGAACTCTAGACCGGAGACTACCTGCTTTGTGTTCCTCAATTCTTACCCCATGTCAAGTTAAAATTGGACGAGATAGCACAAATTATTGTGTTAAATCAACTGTAAATACAGTTTGTATAAGCTGGACGAGATAGCACTGGACGAGATGACACTACATCCTCGAGGGGTGATGACCGACGGACTAGGGTTGAGGCTGATGACTCACCCAGCCAGGTAAACAGTGGGAGCAAATGCCGCAAATCCTGTAGCAAATATCACTGAGGGAAAATAGCGCATATTCTTCTTATCTTACAAGTACGTAATACGTGTATGCTTGAAAACAAGTTGGCAACACTGAGAAAGTGCGGTGTTTATTTGTCGTTCAACGCGTTATAACCAACATTTGACTATTGATACAACTACTAAACTAGCCTATAAACCTGGTGTTGGGTGTTAACAAAACATTGCAAACCAAAAACTATATTCAGATTTTGATTCATTATTATGTTTGTGAAATTCTATTCAGATTTCTAGGCCTATTTGCTAATTTGTGAAACAATTTCATTCAGGTTTTTATATTTTTGAAAGACAAATTAATTTAGGTTTGAATTTGTTAATTTGTGAAACTGCATAGTAAAAGTTAACCTGTATACACAAAATTACCCATTATCTCTATGCTTTTTAGTAACTGTAGGGGAAATATATAACACGAGCACAAAGTCTCTTTGCTGCACTTGAGATAAATGAGGAAAGTTTATCGAGTGCCACTTTGCGCACTAGTTACGCAAATTACTATTTCTTCTTTGCTGTACATTTCCAGCATCCACTTATTTTCTCTGCTCTTAAATTACAAGCTTGAACTCTTTCGCCTATTTGAAAACGTCTTACTCCTTTTGTACATTGTTTGAATATGTGTTGATTACCATTTAATCAAATATCGTTCTAACATTACGCTGAAACATTAGAAAGCAATAATTTGAAACACTAGAGTTTCTTGATTGTCTCATTTGCATCATCAATAGTTGTACTTTTAACCCATATCTACATATTGTTGCATTAAATTTTCAATCTGAAACTTGACAGGTTTTCTCAATAATATTAATGACTTTATTTACATCTTCTGTTATAACAGAACTGTAACATGTATTGTTACATGTAAATTTTTATAATTCGATATTACTTAATCCTGTAACAATTCTGTTATGAAACTAAATCATCGTAAATATAAACATAAATATAGGAACATATGTGCATATTATAATAGCTAGTAAATTGGAATACACATGAAGATTTTAGACTTGTTTTTAGGACTTGGCTTAAATTGGTTTACCTTTATCTAAACATATCTATCATACCCAAAATTGTAATTTATTGCTGCGCAAAACTATTCAGAGTACGCAATTATTTTGGTGAGTGAGAAAGTAGAGAAATATATATTGCAAAATTCAAATGTTTGCGCTTAAATGACAGTCACATACTAACAAAGTCACAGTCTATATTAATACTTATATTTTATAGTTTTATTGGGTACAATTAAACAACCAGGAATAAATAGATAAAAGATTAAACTGATTATAAAATAGTAGTGGTATTTCTAGATTTTGTTATTTTTTAGTTAAAATTGTAAATAATGTGTACATTTTTGCAGGAAATATCTTCTTCTGTGCAACCAGAAGATGACATCCAACCAGAGCAAACACAACAGATTCAACTGTCTAAATGCCCGTATTGCCATCAGTGTACGGACTCCTGCTATGAAGGACCATTGAGAAATGCTTTTCGCTTCAAGGGGAGACAATACTACATTCCGAACCCAAACTTAGCCAGAATATGCCCTCGTCGTAAGGACAGAAATGGAGGAATTGTGCCATGCATACGCCCTTGTCCGGGGGTCGACGAGATTGGATGTAATGAAGACCAATCCAAAATAAACATTAATGGTCAAGCAGAGATATTTGCCCAGGCCCGTTCTTCTGATAACCATTTTTCACCAAACGATCCAGTAGCGAATAATCACGAAGCTACAACAAATTCAGACTGTGATTTAACCGATTTGGAAAAATCATTTAGTTTGATAAGAAATGATAACCTTGGGAATGCAAGAGGTAACGTTGAGGATCACAAGCACAAGACAGACAGCACTATTGATTATTCATTTACCGGAAGTGGACACAGTTCCAACTCGGGATTAATTGAAAATGTAAATGAAGATCAGGTACAAGCTTCTTCACTTGTTGATGAGAACCCCCAAATAAGTCCTGATAGAAATGTGAATGCGTTACAGATCTCTCAAGAACAAGGTCCGGATATAACCCACAACATTCAAGATTTGACAAAAAACAACCTTTCCACACGCACACAATCTCCAGTAAATACTCAGATTCCATATGGTTATATGGATGGGTTTGTAACTAATTCACCGAGTAATTCACCTATTACTAATACTAATCAAGTTTACGGATACAAATATTCAAAAAACATTAATAATCACCCAGTCACACCCCAAGGTATGTTTTACAACAATGCAGTTAATCCGAATTGGCAATGGATTCAGCAAAATGGAAACAAAACTCCTGATCAAGCAGGTCGAGTGCAAACTGGATACACGGTACAAAAATCAACTGGTCAAGAAATTGGAGGAACATCTCCATACTTTCCATACTTTACCCAGAGTGGCGAGTCAGATCACAGATCAAAAGGAGGTATTTCGTGGTTCGGAGGCCCTGCAAAATTTAAGGACCAAACCCCAGCAACATTCAATACACAAGATCGCAACTATTCAATACAACAAAAGACGGACACATACATAGATGGAACCTCTACTCAGTCTAAAAACGAAGACGATGGGAAATTGACCCAATCAATTGGTCAGGAATCAATCGATGATTATGGATACCTTTCGCATGTTGATAGCGAAGGGACAGGTAAATTAGTTGATCAAGGCATTCAGACTCCTGAAACACACTACTCAGGCAATGCAGGCCAAACTCACGGAGGAACACATACTCAAAACTATGTTTATGATGGAACTCAGTTTGGTGGAAATAAACATCAATCTGTTGATCAAGGCACTCAGACTCCTGAAACACACTACTCAGGCAATGCAGGTCAAATTCACGGAGGAACACATACTCAAAACTATGTTTATGATGGAACTCAGTTTGGTGGAAATAAACATCAATCAGTTGATCAAGGCATTCAGACTCCTGAAACACACTACTCAGGCAATGCAGGTCAAATTCATATAGGAACACCTACCCAATACAATGTTCATGGTGGAACTCAGTTTGGCGAAGGGACAGGTAAATCAGTTGATCAAGGCATTCAGACTCCTGAAACACACTACTCAGGCAATGCAGGCCAAATTCGCGGAGGAACACACACTCAAAACTATGTTTATGATGGAACTCAGTTTGGTGGAAATAAACATCAATCAGTTGATCAAGGCATTCAGACTCCTGAAACACACTACTCAGGCAATGCAGGTCAAATTCATATAGGAACACCTACCCAATACAATGTTCATGGTGGAACTCAGTTTGGCGAAGGGACAGGTAAATCAGTTGATCAAGGCATTCAGACTCCTGAAACACACTACTCAGGCAATGTAGGCGAAATTCACGGAGTGACACATACTCAAAACTATGTTCATCATGGAACTCAGTTTGGTGGAAATAAACATCAATCAGTTGATCAAGGCATTCAGGCTCCTGAAACACACTACTCAGGCAATGCAGGTCAAATTCATAGAGGAACACCTACCCAATACAATGTTCATGGTGGAACTCAGTTTGGCGAAGGGACAGGTAAATCAGTTGATCAAGGCATTCAGACTCCTGAAACACACTATTACACAAATATTGGTAAAACAGGTGAAATTCTTAGAGGAACACCTACCCAATACAATGTTCATGGTGGAACTCAGTTTGGTGAAACGACATCTCAATCAGTCTATGGAAATATATATGGTACTAAAAATGAAGGAAGTGGAACCAATTATGGTTATTTTAAAGTTCATTCAACTGGCCACGAAACTAAAAATGTTGATACATTCTCAACAAATACTGAGGTCATTAATAATGTTAATAATGGAGAAAGCACTGTAAAAGTTCCGGCTTCCAGTGTCCACCCATTTGATGATAAGCGAGGAATACAATCGCCAACATTTTACGAGCCATCCTCTGCCAAACTAGAGTATGGATATCCATCAATCCCTACAATACCTAACTACGGAACTACATCTTTGTATGGCTATGATTTCCCCGGTTCTCGTTATTCAAGTGTTCAATTTTCTACAGTTGGTAGAACAAACCAGCAAACTAAACCAAGTGATTTTGAAGAATATAGAAAATCATTGCAGGGAGGGCAAGACAGTACTTTCGGGGAAGAATATAATGCGGGTCCAAATGAAGGAAATAGTTCACCCACTGGTGTTCTTATCGAAGGTGGTAACAGCGGTGTAGAGTACAATGAGGATGGATCGGTTTCTCGAACTGGATCTTATATTTCTACTAATAAAGATGGTTCAGCTATTGACGGTGGGTTGTCTTCAAGTTATCCAAACAATGGCAATAGCCAGGGCCAAAGTGACAGTGCTGTTGATTATCTCCCGGCTGTTAAACAGTCAACTATTTTTTCATACCCACAGAATGGTGACGGATCAGAACTAGTCGGCTCTAATTCTCCATCATACGATGACAATTTTACTAAAGTAAACAGAAACACCAATGATCTCAAGGATGGAAAAATTTTCTCCGGAAAACCAAAAGATGACACCCCATCTTCGAAGAAAAGTTATGTCTCAACTTCCTCCTTCAGGGGTACAAACATATTTGGAGCTGGACAATCTGAAGATCGACCTCAACCTTCCTTCTCTGTAGCGGACAACTCTCAGAAAGGCGAGTATTGTCTTTTATTGTCATTTGTAAAAAGAGTGACAAAACTATAATTTTTTGTTGTTGGATTTTTTATAAGCTTCTTCTGCATTCACAAACAATCATACATCATCAGTCACAAACAAAAGATAATACGACAAGCGAAATACGAAATTTTGTAGATATTTTCTGAAATCTTTTGAAAACAAATTATGAAAATGATCAGTTAAGGTTCGATTTAAAACATTTAACAATCATTTGTAAGAAAGTTCTACATAATGACGGTAGTTGTATCATTTAGTTGTAATAGATTTATGATGCAGCCGGTGCATGAAAATGAATTTAGGTCTTCTACATATTGACACAATCTACAGTACTATGCATACATTTACCCAGGACTAGCATAATAGCATAATATACATTATGCTCAGTATTTTTTATATTAGTATATTACTATCCAATGCGTTAAAGGGTATTACTGTACAAGAATGAATTCTATAATAATGAAGTTCGCTGTTCAAATTATTTTTTTATTAAATCTGGAAACTGTGTTAAGATCACATTCTAGTTCTCCCGTTTGACCAGAATTATTTTCAAACGAAAATTGGAATGTATCAACGCTTTGAAATTACTTGAGTCTCATTGTTGGTGTTGAGATGTTTCGTATTATATGTTTAGCTTGAGTAGCCTACGCTTTTAATTATTTTGTTATTCGAGCAATTTCGAGCAATTCGCAGTTTAACTCATATTATAGCCAAAGCAAATAGAACTGACGGGTAAAGGCCATGTTTTGAAATAGGCCAGCTGGTATTATTTAACTGCCAGTTAGTTCTATTTGATTTGACTTTAGTTATCACTTACCTGTACTTGTGTATTGAACGCGTTCTGGGAACATGCACCGGTGTTGCACCGATGCAAAAAGTGTGTCGTTCTGGGAGACCGGTGAGTTAACCTAGCAGACAGCTATTTCCTCTTTTCCTCCACCGGTGCAAGATTTATGCACCGGAGAAATTGTACGGTGCATAATACACCGGCGGCCTCTGATTGGTCTGTTTCTTGAACAACATCATGCAGCTACGGCAAGATGGCGGGTCCATCGAATAATGTTCATCAGTTTTAAAGGTTATGTTGCGTAATGAGTGAATAATTTATTCTATGAGGGTGTTATATTACGTATTAAGTGAATAATATTCAAATAATTTATTCCGTGAGGACAAGTTTGTTTGGTTTAAATATTATAAAGTAAATAATAGGTGAACGTGTAAATTATAATCCGATGTGTACCGTAAACCGGTGAATAACCGTTCTGGGATACCAAGACTCTTGCCCCGGGGCGGTACCGGTGAATAAGTCACCGGTTAATCTGCACCGGTGCACCGGTACATGTTCCCAGAACGCGCCCATTGTTGGCTATAGTTAGCTGGTGATGCTTCTGTTGGTACCCGCCAAAAAATATGTGGTTTAATTGAAGTTATAATATACTGTAAGGAATGGGAACTTTTGTCAATATCTCTTAAACTGTGAACACTTGAGACGATTTTATCGAATGTGATTTTACTGCATGAGTATGAGGCGGTCAGAATGCGTGAGGAAATAGCGCGATGTCTGTTGAAATTGCACAATCCACCTACACAGAGTCACTCCATTTCCATGTCCTTTTCGAAGCTACAAAATTGGTTGTCCCTAGATTATTGTGGAGATTTACTAAGAGCCGACAAACCGTAAATATTTGGTTTTCCTTTTTTAAATAATTGTCCATAAAACAAGGATTTTTAGAGAATTTACAATAACATTTCAATTCAATTCAATTACAATATTCTTTATTTATGCATTTGTACAATGGTACAACAAATAGTGTCAAAGTTAACAACAAAACTAACATAAAACCGCAGTAAAACATAAAACCTGTTATATTACAGATACGTCATAACTTAAACTCAAATGATTTGTAAGTTTATGCTACAAATCTTCCACGTTGAAGTAATGACTGTTTAAGGAAAACAAATTTTCAAAATCCATATTCGTTTTTGTTTCAGAACTGTCTTTTGACGGGAAGAAATCGACTACTGACCAGACTCCAGGTACCCAGTACGATGGCGAGGGTAGTTTATCTACTGCTCTGGGAATAACTGGAGAATCTGGAAAAGAAGTGTCTACTTTTAACAGACGAAAGTCTAACACTTCTCCTGACGATGGCAACAAAGTGGTCAATGTCAACGGATATTCAATGACGAAAAGACAACTTCAAGACATAATCGATAGTTTCAAGAATGTAGATAAATGCGTTTTCACCTTGCCCAAAGTATGTAGTGGACCTCTGGACAAATACATCCACGTGATCAACAGCTACCCAGACAGTGCGAGTATAAACGATGGGTTTGTACGTCTACCCAGTGACGTAATCGTGCCTCTGCCATGCTACAAGTCTGTTGCCAGCGTCTACGCCAAGGACAGTCCTCTATTCTCAGATAAGTCCGGTGAAGTGTTGCCCAGTGGACACTTTGTCAAGTACACCACCAGCTGCAACATACTGGCGAGCGCCAAGACACCAGAAAAGGTCTCCATAGTGACACCCCAAGGCATCGTTGTGCCATACGACGTCCATAGCAAGTACATGAAAAGTCTCTCGCCCAAGGACAAAAAGAAGCTCAAAGTTTTGATACCTAATGAGCATAAACCGATATCATTCGGATTGTATAAAGAATACTTAGAACTGTACGCTCCGGATTCTCCAGCAGAAAACAAATTGAAAGAAGGCTATATTAAATTGTTGCGATCTAAAACTAAAATTCCGTTAAAAACCTTTATCTCGATTTTGGAAAATTACAAGAATTTAAAGGACGCTACTGTCACTCTTCCCAGTGGCCAGTCCATACCATTCCTATCTTATTTGAAGATCGCAGGACTTCTTGGCGAAGAATACAATCAGAAGTGTGTAGTCAATGTACCCAACACTGACACTAGAGTCCCATATACGGTGATGGAAGATGTATGTAACACCTATTTAGGAAGGAAGCCTAACGATTTGACCAAGGATACGGATGTGAATTTCGTCTTCCCGAGACCTAGGAATCCTTATGCTGAAGAACTAGATTATGGCAAGAGTTCGACTTTTGAAGACGCAGACGCCTACTCCGAATACAAGTATGGCGAACAATACACGTATGGTGGACCATACAAGTATGGCGAACGTGATTACAATCGCTATGATTCTCACCGTCCTCGATCAAAATACTTCCTGACCGAGGCTGCAGATGATGTAGACCCGTACAGCTGCTGCCCATCTTCGGCAGATCCTCCTCACTCCCCTGCCTCGGACAGAGAGTCCATCCTGGATGTTCTTCACCCTGGCCACACGGACCTCGTGGGCTACTGCCCTCATCACCGTTACTGCAATCGTCACAAAAAATCAACCAACTCAGCTAGTGCTTAGTCAGCCATCACACAATATTTATGTTTTACACAATCTTAACGACTGATTCTAGATTTACGTTATAATTTGTAAATATATATTGTTAATAGTTACAAATTGGACACATTTTATTTTCCCTTAACTATTTAGCTATTATCTAAATTGAAAGAAGGAAAAGTCTACAAATAACGGGTTGAATAGGTTTTTTTTACAATACAGTATCAAAAAATATCAATATCAATCAGAATATGTATCAATGAGTGATATCGAATATCAATCAGTTTCAGACAATTCAAAAGGTTTCGAAAACATTATGATACATAAATTCAAGTTTTGTGAACAGCTTTATTTATTGAGTTTTATTTAGCTTTATTAACTAAATGAAGCTAAAAAGTGCTCAAACAAAGTATCCGCCAATAAGTCTAAGCTAAGTCTCAACGCAATGCATTATGGAGAGTTTCTGTAAAATACTAAAAACGTGCCTAGATTAGATAAAAAGGGAATAGCCCAGTCAAATTAGCTTTAAAATTCATAAAGAAAAAAAAATGGTATAGTTTTGCAAATTGGCTTAAAATGTCAGTTAAGGTCAGTTAGGGGACTTTATCATACTAAAAGTCCCCTAACGTGAGACTTGAGCTTTCGCCGCCATCTTGGATTTTAGGTACAATTTTCAGGTTTTTCTTAATTTTCTTATAAAGTATTAGCATTTTATATACCACATGCAATTACAAAATTGAAGTACACAATATTTACTACAAAAATTGTATTTACAGTTTTCATGTAACTCAAATTGTTTCAGAGCAATATGTTCCTAAGTATGAAATTTAATTAATTTTTAGGTACAATGTTTTAGTTTTTCTTAATTATCTCAAAAATTATTAATCTTTTACATAGCATATATAGTTGCAAAGTTGAAGTACACAAATTTTACTACAAAAAGTGTGTTTACTACTGTTTAAGCATTGCGTCTATTTTAGAAATATATGAACATAAATATGATAATTTAATTTGTTTATTATTTTACACCTGTATGTGGGCTAAAGAGTATACAAAATGTATAGAAATTTTCTTTTATAAGCTACATATTATAATCATCGCACACTTATCCCTAGTGTATCCCTTTAATACTGAAAACCCTAATTTACCCTTTGATGCCATTTGTGGTTCCAATCAATTTTAGATATAGGGTTTGGCAACCTTTCTTTTAATAATTTCATATATTTAGTCTTAACGTTTCGTAAACCAATTATAACTAATATTGGAGCAGTTCAAATACAGATTAGTTTTATAGAACTAGTCAGCATAATTTCGATTGTAATTCAATAATTTTCAAATAAATTTTGTATATTGAAGATTGTAAGATAGGAAAAAAGTGTCAAGGAAATATCTGGCATTTTGGTCATTCATGGGACGGATGGTGGTATGTGGGTTCTTAGGCCTATTAGTTGTAGTGTTTTAGTTATAGCAATCGATTCACTGTATTTTTTCAGTTTACTTTTTATCGTACGCTTATCAACAGTTGGTCCAGTGATATCCTTCATCAACTGTTCCATAGCAAACTGACAATCATCGTTCATTTCAATAAATCTTCTTATTTCTTCAACAGCATCACTAATGTAGTCTCACTCAGGTCGCCCTTTTTTTCGCAATTTTGATATTCGAGCAGCAAAAAAGGGCAAAGAGAAATCCTGATGATTAAGTCTGACACATTTGATACGTAGATTTACTTCGTTCCCCAATGTTTCTTGCACTTTATCTTTCATATCAAAGTTCCGTACCATATAAACTTTGCGTCTCTTCTCCAAAGGCTTCTTTTTTGATCCTCAAAGTATGACTTACTAATACCTCACAACAATATAAGCACATTGTTTGGAAATCAAATTGTATCTGTGATGATCGCAAGGTTGTGCTCGAGGTATCTTTATGAGGAAGTGTACTATCTTTGGTTTTGGCTGCAGCAATAGATGATGGTCTGTCTGTTGATATACGTTTGAAGGCAGTATGTATGGACATATACTGAAATAAGCCCAGCATAAATAATGTTTTTCCAATCTTTCCTTTCTTCACTTGCTTTTACCAAACCTACCAAATCTTTCGCAACAATTTTAATACAACTCTCGCTGTCCACTATACATTGATCACTAATAACACATTTCAGTGATTCACTTATTTCAATTTTAATCTATTGTATTATTTAAGTTATACAATCAAATTTTATGTCAGTGGTTAAGGCCATAAACCAAATAAAAATGTATGCATATGGCTCATCAAAATGAAGCTCAGAGTAAGTAAATTTGCCAAAAAGTACTGGTATGAACGAATTCTCTTAGGGCTTTGCCCCACAGGCCGATTTCCAAGCTGTTATATCATTTAAAAGTTACAATCAAATTATATGTTAATGGTAAAGACCATTACCCAATTAAAAGTAAAAGCATATGATCCATCACAATGAAACTAAGAGAGTGTAGATTTGCCGAAACATATGGATATGAACGAACTCTCTTAGGGCTCTGCCCCCAGGTCGATTTCCAATTATATTATTAAAGTGATACAATAAAATTGTATGTACATGGTTAACACCAATAACCAAATAAAGAGTCATCCAAGAGATTGTTGCGGATTTTAAACAGGTCGTCGTTAAAGAGGCCGGTACAACCGTACCCACCTACCTCAAATCGGAAGTCCCGCTGCTTTTAATATTCCTTCTGATGAGAATTTCTCGATCTTGGACCCTTTAATTGAAATATGGAGATTAAAAACGTCCGGTTCCCCGGACGTTGGCACTCAAAGGGTTAAATGGATGCTTATGAATCACACGTGTGGGTACACTCGTGTCATTCAAGGGTAGAACCTCTAGTTTGCATATAATTCCTGTGTATATATACATCTTGTAAACAACACAAGAGACTAACTGACAAAAAATAACAGACGATTAAATATAAAAACAAATAAGCTGTAATTAATTGTTGTCAATGGCGTTGTTAGCTTTCTACAGCTAAAAATAAATACAGTAGTCCTTTATGAATAATAATAATAATGATGATGGTCAACCAACCTTAAATCTAATAATATACATTCATGTTTATAACTATTGTCAAAAAATGTGAATTATATTATAACAGACAGTTTCTATATACTATTTAATATCCCACATACAGGGGTAAAATAATAAACAAATTAAATTATCATATTTATGTTCATATATTTCTAAAACAGACGCAGTGCCTAAACAGTAGTAAACACACTTTTTGTAGTAAAATTTTTGTACTTCAACTTTGCAATTATATATACTATGTAAAATATTAATAATTTTTGAGATAATTAAGAAAAACTAAAACATTGTACCTAAAAAATCAATTAAATTTCATATTTAGGAACATATTTCTCTGAAACAGTTGGAGTTACATGAAAACTGTAAATACAATTTTTGTAGTAAATTTTGTGTACTTCAATTTTGTAATTGCATGTGGTAGATAAAATGTTAATACTTTATAAGAAAATTAAGAAAAACTTGAAAATTGTACCTAAAATCCAAGATGGTGGCGAAAGCTCAAGTCTCACGTTAGGGGACTTTTAGTATGATAAAGTAGAAGCTTTAACTGACATTTTAAGCCAATTTGCAAAACTATACCATTTTTTGTTTTTTGATTACATTCATTTGACTGGGCTAGAACAATAACAAATGTATTTCCTTCGTAAGATACTTTTAATTTCAAATGTAAAAAGTTAAATACGCTCTAATCAACCTCAGAACCTAAAGGAAACTGATACCCCAAAATGCTGTTAATGTTTTCATGAAAAATAAACATTCTAGATAATTGAAGAATACTGAGAAGAAAAATAAGAATTTATTTATCCTCTACTAAGGGGGGCACGTAACTTGCAGTGAATACAACTTCAATCCTTCATACATGTTCAAATAAAAATTATTAGAAAAATAGTTTAGTAATTTTGCAAATTAAATATAGACCTTATAAGATTTTAAGTAAAATATATAATTTTATTAATCAGAACTATACAGGGTAGTGACATAATTAATGTATTGATTCCTTTGGTCAAAATGAGCAAAAAAGTGTAGGTCCCATCTCGTCCTGTTTAGCGTCTGTCTGCTTTTGTGTGTTTTTTTTTTACAACAACTCTTTAACGGTTTGAGCTAAACGGTGAAATTATGCATAAAGGCAACTTATTGCCACTACCTTTTTGCAAAATATGCAAACTCTTAAACCGTTCCAAAATCACGGATATTTGAAGTATATGATGCCTAAATTCCATGAAAACCGAGAAATTAATTTAATTATTGATATGGAAAATTAAACTAGGAGGACTAATTTATAGGCCTACACTACTAGTAGTATGCACACATTCAAATTGCACATCTAAATTCCAGTACGTTATTAACTCAATCCAGATCGATTCTTACAAATCTGTTAATGAAAATAGGATATTTAAATTAGCATAAAACACCCTTAATATATATTTAAGCAAATTCAAATTCATAAATTGCATTTCAATCGGTTTGAAAAAAAAACCTCTATTTGTTGTTGTGTGTTGGTTTGTTGTTTGATGACTGCGCTACTTCTCATGCTTTCCAAGAAGTCGTGCAATAACTCATTATGTTTCTGATATAAAATTTCTTTCGATCATTCACTTTTAACCATTTAGCGACTGAAAGTCGACTATAAGCAGATGAACCATGTAATTTGACATATTATATTACTGAACATTTGGTCAACTCCTGATAGGCAAAACAGCATGCAAGGTTTTTCCCTGGGCGGTGGTCGTGGTGGTTTTGCTGCCTATACAAATATTGTTTCTGCAAATAACGCGTGTTTAGTACCATAAGCTGTTTGTAATTTCTAGAATGTACGTTTTCGTAACAGAAACAATCAACACAATCCAAAGGTTATTCAGTTGTCCATGATAAATTAGGTGGAAATCCTAGCAAAACATGAAATGTTTGCACAAAAGATAATGTTAACAGAATTGGGACGTATGTAAATTATTAGGGAAATAATTAGGCAAATTATATGCCACGTAAAAAGTAGTGCTTATATTTAATTCAAAACATAAAGGAAAACACTCATAAAAATCATTCTAAAAACCCAATTATA